TGACCATTTAAGGGAAATCATGTCACTTACTGTTCTCAAACTTACAGGAAAGAAACATGGGTCTAACATACAGCTTCAATAGGCAACGCAGTCTGTTTGGTAAATTTTTCTGGCAATTTAACATTTTTTTGTGAAAATTTAATTTTTCACTTATTTGCATCTTTATTTTCTGTTCTTTGTCTGTACATTTGACAGCTTTGCTGCCTTGTTATTTCTTGTATGTCTATTTGGAATTTAATGATAGACAGACCAGTTTTAGTGCTTGGAGCATTCTTAAATCTCACTGATTCATTGAAAATGTTCTTGACGGGATTTTCGCTCCAAATAGATCTGACGTCATGACAAAAAAAGCAACTTTTACCTTGCGAAATAATAAAAGTATTCAATAGAAAATCAGCATTGGCCCAAGTAAGATACAAGAGGTTATCAACATCAGCCATCACCAGATACTGATGAATAGGGATGGGAGGGGTTTATGCCAACATATATAAGAGGGTCCCTACAGCTATACCACCTAGCGGTCAATGAGTAACAACATCTATTCACATTAGTCTGGTAAAAAAAATACATCCAGGTTGTCCGTAATTTAAAGATATGAACTTTTTTCAGCCTGGGTAGGATAATATTGATTTATTATTTAAAAGAATTTTTGAAAAAAATCTTATTCTAGTTATATGCCCAAGCGCTTAGTTCACCACTCCTTTGTGCGCAGTTTTCAGTAAACTTATTGAATAAAAGTTGAATGGAATAGGAACATGTATATTTACAAGATTATTAAAGGGCAAAATGAACAACGGGCAGATGATAAGGGGTTGTTGTAGCAAAGGACTAAGTCAAACATGGTTCAAACAAAGTAAATGTTGTCGAGGACGGTAAAGAATTGAAAGCCGTGAAATGAAGATCTCAAAAATACAACAAAAAGGTCCAGGGATCAAGTTTATGGGACAGACACATTATACGATTTAGATATGTTTTTTCTTGTATGTAGCTGGGGAGTATTAGTATTAGTATAGATTTGATTAGATTAGATTTCGTATTCTTTTATGTCATTGGCTTTTTAAGGTTTCTTAGCTATCAAGGGTTTTTGTGCTTAACTGAACTTTTGTAAAGGTAAGAAAAGCAATTTCTCCTCACAAACTATAATATAGACCCAACACCGCACTCGGGATCAATGCTGTATATCATTTTGAAAGTATTTAGAAATAATCTAATTTTTTAATATCTCTCCAAACACTTGGACCAACACAACAGAAAAGCATATCGACATCATGTTTTTTTTTTTTTTTTTTTTTTTTTTTTTTTTTTTTTTTTTTTTTTTTTTTTTAAATGATTTTATAATTTTAAAGGTGTAAAAACGCTAAGTGTCTTTACAGGATATTGAGTCACACAAATACAAATGGGGCACCTAACACGTGTCTTAGTTTACTGTCTTATTTTTAGAATGGTGCTCTGACAACTTCATGTGTTGTTTAATGCGTGTTATAAAAGTTATATTCTGTAACTAGTCCGCCATCTTCAAAGTGTACTGAAAATCGGCAAAGATTACGTATGTCATCTTCGCCCATATACTAGCTGCACTCTTTGTACTTAATTTGCTTGCGTAACAAAACGCTCGTTCTTGACAAAGTTGTGATAAAAAACTGTGTATTCTGTGGGATCCCACCATGTGTTTGTCATTTGCCGAGCCCCAAAATTATATCTCACTGAATTAAGGGAGGTTTAAAAAACATTAAAACTGCAAAATTGAAGGATGAATTTACAAAATAAATGAACAAATAAATAGATAAATATAAAATTAACTGTACATGAATGCTGTTTTATTCATCGAACCTGTAAAGGTTTAACAACAATATAATTATTGATATAAAATCCTTGTTATCTTACGTCCACTTCCCTTACATTATGGAATTGAGTGGCATTACCGTTTTGAAGATGTAAAAAAGATAAACATCTTTAGTAACACAAATACGACTTTAGGGCTTCTTTATTTACTGATTTTTTCATCTGACATCTTTGATGTTTTCCGGTAGTTGGAGAAATGGGCATACATTGACTTTTCAAGAAACCCTTGCCCCGTGGTCTGGAACTATTCCACTGTCTTTGAATCTTGCTGAAAATCGGCCAAGGTTTGTCGTCATTGCTCATACTTCCGGTATCCTGAAAGCTGATTCCACATCAGTCTTAGCCATCCAAGAAAAATGACCAGAGTTATCGCCGACTGACCTGCGTGCTGAAATACATACATCATTTTCAGCAACCGTGCACAGTATAATCGTTATCTCCCCAAGACATTGCTCGATTGCCCTCAGAGGGGTACCCTCGATTGAAGCCCTGTCATCGCGCATCTCGATAAGCAAACTCACTTTAAGTGCTGGCAGCGGCTACATTAGACGTATTTACGCAGGAAGCAGAAGAGTTAAGAAGATCTGAAAAAGAAGTACAGAAAAGTTCAATTTATACAAGTAAGATCTGGGATTTGGAGTAATTTGTTTTATTACGAAAATATATTTCTGGGTGGCATTTCACTTTCTTTGTGATAGTCATACCTTTTACAAGTAAACACACTTATTTTTATCGTAAAGCTCTGTGAAACCACCGCTTTGACATAACTGCCAGTCGTTTCACAGTGGACGTAAGTTAACTGATTTGTTTTTCAATTTCGTCTTTTGAAATATAAGTGCGCTGTGAAAAACAATTTCCATGATAGTTGGATTTTTGTTTTGGGGGGGGGGGCAACACACGCGTATAGCATACTTAAAAAATAAGGCTGTATTCTAACACAAACTATGATAAAGCAATTTGCCTAACAAAAAGAAAAAAGGGTAAGGGAAGTGTCTGACGATCGCAGATACGTAAAGCAGAGAAATTAAAGAAATGAAATTTGTTAAAAGAAAAATAGAAAAAAAACTTAGGAATCTTGGGAGGGGTATTCTTTTTAAAATATCAACTTTTAAGGGTAGGTGATTTTTTAT